AGTTGAAGAAAGTGTAAGGACAGCACTGGACCCACAGGTAGACTCCACTGGTACTGTTATCTTAAGATATTATGTTGGTGTAAATGATCTGGTTCCTGGGCAGGCGGCTTCTACACCCCAGAGGATCTCCACAGTCTTCCTACAATGGTATTCAATCCAGTGTGAATTAAAAGCAAAGGCCTAATCAGCAGCTTGTCTGGCAGCTTGTTTGTTCTGGAAGGAGGCACGGTGCAGGGGAAGTGGTCTGGACTAGAGAGCAGTCTACCCATCAATATCTTGGAGCTTCGGGCGATACGTCTTGCTCCAACTTTTTGGACGAACAGGTTGTGTGGTTGCCTGGTCAGAATTCAGTCCGACAATGCCACAGCACTGGATTAAATCAACCACCAAGGGGGCACCAGGAGCAGTGCAGCTCAGGAGGTGGTGAACCACATTCTAGCCTGGGCAGAACTTCATGTACCCTTTCTGTCGGCAGTTCATATGCCAGGTATCGAGAACTGGCAGGTGGATTTTCTAAGTCGTCATAGGTTAGTTCCAAGGGGAGTGGTCCCTGCACCCCAATGTTTACTCAGCAATTTGCCATTGTTGGGGCACTCCAGACATAGATCTATTGGCGTCCAGGTGGACAGGATTGTGTCCAGAATGAGGGACCCACTCACAAGTGAGGTGGACACTCCAATAACATTTTGGGGCCAGTTTTCTCTGATCTATGCTTTCCCTCTGGTTCAGCTTCTTCTTCGTCTCTTGCACAGGATCAGAGAGAAGGTGATATCAGTGATATTAATAGCCCCTGTTTGGCCAGGAGATCTTGGTATGTGAACATAGTAAAATTGGCTGTGTACGGGCCATGGACTCTTCCAACCTGGTACAGATATATCGATGATGTTCTTGTTCTCTGGACAGGCACGCTAGCACAAGCCCAAGAGTTCATAGAGGGACTTACCCCCAACCCTTACAATCACTAATGAATATAACACCCAAAGAGTGACCTTTTTAGATCTAGAGATTGAATTAAATAGAAATAGAGGCATTAAGACGAGATTGTTTAACCTACAGCTACCAATAATTTATTGGAAGCCAGAAGTTTCCATCCCTGCCCCCTTATCCAGGGCATCCCAGTAGGACAGAATTTAAGGACATGAAGGAACTGTTCGGATCCCCTAGATTTCGAAAAGAAAGCATCTAATTTATGCAAATGATTTACTAGACGAGGGTATAAAAAGAAATGTCTGGTGAAGGCATATCATAGAGCAAGGGATGCTGACCGTGAGGAATTAATCTTTGGACCCAGGGGGAGACTTTTGAGTGATCAAGAAACTCAATTAAACTCAATATACAATATACAGAACTATCAGGGAATGTAAAAGGTATTTGTGCCAAGCATTGGCACATCCTTAAGGATTCCTCAGTTAAGAAATACATCAATAACCATCCGAACTTGATTTATAAGAAGGCCAAATCCTTAGCTGACCTATTGGTTCATAGCGATATCAACTGGTCTCCCCCCAAGCTACGTTATTTACCAGGCAAAGATGTGGCTGCTGTGATGTCTGTCCCTCTGTAATTAAGGGACAGTTTGACCTTGCCAACTGGCATGAACCTCAGGTGCAGACAAAGAGCCAATTGTGGCACATCTGGAGTTGTACATATTATTCTCTGCGCCTGTGATTCTTTCTATGTCAGCAAGACTATCCGCACCATCCACAAGAGATTCCAGGATCATCTTTATGAGATTTCCACCTACTATCTCAAATTTTCCAAAGGCAAGAAATGTGCGTCTTAAACATAACAGTGATCCCAAACACCTTTGATGTTGGGTATTAGAGGTTGTCCCCCAGGACACTAGGGGGGAGACTTTGATAAAGTGGTACTTCAACATGAAACAATGTGGATATGGAAGCTTGAAGCTACTAAACCGCGTTAGCTTTGCCCCCTTCTTAACAGCTTAGAGTTCCCTCCTTTATCCTACTCCTTTTTGTTTTTCTATATAAGCTGTGGATTTTGTACTTTTTGTAGATTTAAATGGTTCAGATACTATTTAGGGCTGTGTGGTCTTGGGCAGACTATTTTGACAAAGATGTATTCAGTGTTTTGTTTGTAACGATGGTTGTTGGCATGCTATGTGCTGGGTGCTCTTCTGATTTGCAGCTCTTTATTCCCCTTTTTGCCCTTCCTTTTTAAAGGAAGGGGGGGGGGGGTAGATTGATCTCTATAGGTTCTTTCTATAAGAATTTATATTTCCATGCATTGATTATTGTATATTGTTTAATGTCCACTAGATGGTGCATTGGAGACTCTGTGTGAGCCATATTGCTATTTCAAGTACATCAGTGTATTTCTTATTGTGCATGCGCGTGGTGTCATCACGTATGCTGCGTTATGACACGGCCATGTCTCACACATGCGCAGTTGAGGCGGAGTGGCCATGTTAGTCAAACAATTCTGAGTCTACCTCTGAGGCAGCCGGTTGTACCGGCGAAACCAGTCCGAAATGGGCTTTTACCACACTCCAAGCCCCCCAGGGAATCTTCAATGGACCTCTACGATGTGATAAGTACTCCAACTCCACCACAAATGCTCTTTTGATGCTTTAACTTCACCAACTTTGGAAGGAACTTTTCTGCCAATATGTCAGTATGTATTTAAGGGGACTGCCTCTATTGTTATCTAACTCTGCCTAAATTACCACTTTGATGCTTTTGATGTTCCTATTTTGCTAACCTTTGGAAGAAATGTCTCTGCTGATGTGCTTATGCACTTAAAAGGCACTGCCTCATTGTTATTCAATTCTGCTTAAAAACATCATTTTCATGCTTCCACTCTATCAAATTTGGAGAAACTCTGTTTTCAGGATCACCAAACCTAATCAAAGAATGTAATCCATCAATGTATGAGGGAGGTTTTCCTGATTTATGTCCTCCCCTGGATTGTGCCCCAATATCAGGCACAAGAGGGAGGTGAAGCCATCATCTTTATATAGTTTCCATTACAGATATCATCCTCTGGACTACATATTTATGTTGATGCAGTGTCTGGGACTTCCTATCTTTATCTACAATACGATGTGTCTAACTGACAGCTCAGTGTAATAGGAAGGCTCACCGTTTGTAGTATCCTCCCCTGGATTACACAACCTTACCCACTTACAGAACTTTAACAATTATATCTTCCATCCATGGTGATTTTGATTGGCAGACATATACATATATGATATGGAGTATGTTCCCTTTAAAGAGGACTGTGAATGATCAAGTTCTGTAAATTTATACAAGGAGCTTGTGCAACCTTTATGGAGAGAAATATTAATATTGTTATTAATGTTACCGACTAATTTGTCCATTGTTTTAATGGGTACTCCCCCTTTGGGGGTGTTACTCGGGACATGTGGAGTGTGGTAGATAATTTTTTCTGTTTTTTTAGAAATGTTTACGTTTAAAAAAAAAACCATTGTGTGCCATTTACTACCAGCCCCTTAATTATTGCTTTTCAATATGAATACATACAAAACAAACCCAATATACTGGTTGAGTCCATAACTAGTTTTGTTTTTATGCAGTTTCTCATTATGTTGGTAACTAGGGACTCCTGGTTTACTTATCATTGATATCTAGGACCTTGAGGCTTTTGTTTGGAGGTTTTGCATAACCTTGGTAGTAATAAATAAAGCCTGCTCTGTGTTCTGTGAGGTCTTTCCAGAAATGGATTTTACAGGTAAGTATGCAGAAAAAATCCAATAATTCCTGTATTCTTCTTAAGGAAACCCAATCTATGGTTCTAGCACTCTTATTAATGTAATTAATTAATTATGTAGTAATGTTGAGATTTGGCTGTGTATTAGCCTATTACTAATAGAAACCTTTAAAGCTGTCTTGTGAGGATAATGGTACAACTACTCCCTAGGACAAGAAAAGGTTCAGGGCTAGAGATGAGCGAATTATTCAAAAATTTGATTCGGCTGATTCGGCGAATTCGCGGAATAAATTTGATTCGAGTCGAAAGAGAAATAATACTGTCAGTCAGTATGACATGCAGATGAGTGCCGTCGATCTTAGAATCACCGCACACTTCACTCATTTGGGCAGTCACGGGGCCAAAACCAGAGTGTGGGAGCCAGAGTGTGGCGGTGGAGGCAGCAGCAATGGGAGGCCATACAGCACCCTATGACAAAATGGAACCCACCAGCAGTGTGAGAGGAGACCTGAAAGTGGCACATGGCAGAGTGTGGCGATGGAGACAGCAGCAATGGGAGGCCGTACAGGGACCCATGACACACTCTGGACTGGCAGCAGCATGAGGAGGCGGTACTGGGGCCCATGACAGATTACGGGCCTGGCAGCAGCATGAGGAGTCGGTACGGGGGCCCATGGCAGATTACGGGCCTGGCAGCGGCAATGGGAGGCCCGTAATCTGCCAGCACCCTATGACAAAATGGAACCCACCAGCAGTGTGAGGAGACCTGAAAGTGGCACATGGCAGAGTGTGGCGATGGAGACAGCAGCAATGGGAGGCCGTACAGGGACCCATGACACACTCTGGACCTGGCAGCAGCAAGAGGAGGCGGTACAGGGGCCCATGGCAGATTACGGGCCTGGCAGCAGCAATGGGAGGCCGTACAGGGACCCATGACACACTCTGGACCTGGCAGCAGCATGAGGAGGCGGTACAGGGGCCCATGACAGATTACGGGCCTGGCAGCAGCATGAGGAGTCGGTACGGGGGCCCATGGCAGATTACGGGCCTGGCAGCAGCAATGGGAGGCCGTACAGGACTCATGACACACTCTGGACCTGGCAGCAGCATGAGGAGGCGGTACAGGGGCCCATGACAGATTACGGGCCTGGCAGCAGCATGAGGAGTCGGTACGGGGGCCCATGGCAGATTACGGGCCTGGCAGCAGCAATGGGAGGCCCGTAATCTGCCAGCAACCCTATGACAAAATGGAACCCACCAGCAGTGTGAGGAGACCTGAAAGTGGCACATGTGCAGAGTGTGGCGATGGAGACAGCAGCAATGGGAGGCCGTACAGGGACCCATGACACACTCCCGGACCTGGCAGCAGCATGAGGGGGCGGTACAGGGGCCCATGACAGATTACGGGCCTGGCAGCAGCATGAGGAGTCGGTACGGGGGGCCCATGGCAGATTACGGGCCTGGCAGCAGCAATGGAGGCCTGTAATCTGCCAGCACCCTATGACAAAATGGAACCCCACCAGCAGTGGTGAGGAGACCTGAAAGTGGCACATGGCAGAGTGTGGCGATGGAGACAGCAGCAATGGGAGGCCGTACAGGGACCCATGAGCACACTCTGGACCTGGCAGCAGCATGAGGAGGCGGTACAGGGGCCCATGACAGATTAACGGGCCTGGCAGCAGCATGAGGAGCTCGGTACGACGGGGCCCATGGCAGATTAACGGGCCTGGCAGCAGCAATGGGAGGCCATACAGCACCCTATGACAAAATGGAACCCACCAGCAGTGTGAGGAGACCTGAAAGTGGCACATGGCAGAGTGTGGTGATGGAGACAGCAGCAATGGGAGGCCGTACAGGGACCCAAGACACACTCTGGACCTGGCAGCAGCATGAGGAGGCGGTACAGGGGCCCATGACAGATTACGGGCCTGGCAGCAGCATGAGGAGTCGGTACGGGGGCCCATGGCAGATTACGGGCCTGGCAGCAGCAATGGGAGGCCCGTAATCTGCCAGCACCCTATGACAAAATGGAAACCCACCAGCAGTGTGAGGAGACCTGAAAGTGGCACATGCAGAGTGTGGCGATGGAGACAGCAGCAATGGGAGGCCGTACAGGACCCATGACACACTCTGGACCTGGCAGCAGCAAGAGGAGGAGGCGGTACAGGGGCCCATGGCAGATACGGGCCTGGCAGCAGCAATGGGAGGCCGTACAGGGACCCATGACACACTCTGGACCTGGCAGCAGCATGAGGAGGCGGTACAGGGGGCCCATGACAGATTACGGGCCTGGCAGCAGCATGAGGAGTCGGTACGGGGGCCCATGGCAGATTACGGGCCTGGCAGCAGCAATGGGAGGCCGTACAGGGAACCATGACACACTCTGGACCTGGCAGCAGCATGAGGAGGCGGTACAAGGGCCCATGACAGATTACGGGCCTGGCAGCAGCAATGAGGAGTCGGTACGGGGGCCCATGGCAGATTACGGGCCCTGGCAGCAGCAATGGGAGGCCATACAGCACCCTATGACAAAATGGAACCCACCAGCAGTGTGAGGAGACCTGAAAGTGGCACATGGCAGAGAGTGTGGCGATGGAGACAGCAGCAATGGGAGGCCGTACAGGGACCCATGACACACTCTGGACCTGGCAGCAGCATGAGGAGGCGGTACAGGGCCCCATGACAGATTACGGGCCTGGCAGCAGCATGAGGAGCTCGGTACGGGGGCCCATGGCAGATTACGGGCCTGGCAGCAGCAATGGGAGGCCCGTAATCTGCCAGCACCCTATGACAAAAATGGAACCCACCAGCAGTGTGAGGAGACCTGAAAGTGGCACATGGCAGAGTGTGTGGCGATGGAGACAGCAGCAATGGGAGGCCGTACAGGGACCCATTGACACACTCTGGACCTGGCAGCAGCAAGAGGAGGCGGTACAGGGGCCCATGGCAGATTACGGGCCTGGCAGCAGCAATGGGAGGCCGTACAGGGACCCATGACACACTCTGGACCTGGCAGCAGCAGAGGAGGCGGTACAAGGGGCCCATGACAGATTACGGGCCTGGCAGCAGCAGGAGGAGTCGGTACAGGAGCCCATGGCAGATTACGGGCCTGGCAGCAGCAATGGGAGGCCCGTAATCTGCCAGCACCCTATGACAAAATGGAACCCACCAGCAGTGTGAGGAGACCTGAAAGTGGCACATGGCAGAGACCTGTGGCGATGAGACAGCAGCAATGGGAGGCCGTACAGGGACCCATGACACACACTCTGGACCTGGCAGCAGCAAGAGGAGGCGGTACATGGGGCCCATGGCAGAGTGGCGAAGCGTAAGCAGCTTAAATTGAAGGCCATAACAGAGGCCTATGTTAAAAATAATAACATGTTTGGGGCATGAGTTCATGAGGCGGATTTAGTCAGTTGTGGTCAGGAACTGGTTGGTTTGAAATCCAGACTAATCCACGCCTGATTCATTTTCACAAACGTGAGTCTCTCCACACTTTGGGTGGACAGTCGTGTTCCTCCGCGGAGTTACAATACCTCCTGCCGCACTAAACACGCGCCTCCGATGCTCACACTCTACTGGCCGGGCATGACCAGCCTTTCAAGGGCAAATTCAGCTAGTTGGGGCCAAAAGGTTCAAGTTTCGTTGCCCAGTAGTCAAGGGGATTGTCCTACCTCGGTTGGCAGGGTGCTGTCCAAGTAGGCCCAAGCCCTGTGTGTTTGAGATCCTGCTCCAGGTCCACCTGATGCTGATGCTGCTGCGGCTGGTTAGGAGTTTCCCTCACTGCGCAGGGTGAAGAAAGCTACTCATTCATCGACTGCAGACTGAGGCAGCCGCTGCTGTTGGAGCGGCGTGCACTGCTCCCTACCACCCCCACCCCTCCCCTGCTGGCCATGGCAGCAGGGGAGACGCGAGCGCACAGGGCCCACAGTGTCTGAGGATGAGGACGTTTGGCAGCAGAAAGGCAGAGACCTAACCCTGACTACATAGTGGTTTTTTATAAGTACTCTTTATTTTTGGCCTCCTCTCAGTTCAGAGTGTGAAAAAGGGCCACCATTTTTTGAACGTGTAGCGAGGGTCCAACAAGGTGGACAGACCCAAAAGTCATCCCTCTCACTCTGATGGGCGGTATTTTCGGCCCATGTCGCTACACCGCAAGCAGACAGCATGTGCTATGGGGCCATTTGTGCCAAGGAATTAGCGTATGGACTCCCAGCCTCCATCACCACAGCATACTGCCAACGTTGTGGCGTCTGGGAGTTCCTCTGTCAGCGCACTCCGTTCAGGGCCTCCTCTACCAGATGCTCCTTGCTCATCCACATGAGCTGTCCGCTGAGTGGAAAAACCACCCATATTCACTCAATGGGATCCCTGAGCACCAATGTCCTCCATCTACCTCCTCCTCTTCTAATGGACCTGTCCTGCCCCCACATGGGTCAAGTGGCGTTTGAGATCTGAAAGTGCGCCAGCGACCTCTCTACCGCTCCCTTACCAGGCATTGTTAACAGCATTTGTTCCAGGACTGCAACAAGAGGAATGACGTCGTTCATCCGGCGCATAGTCCTGCCGACTCAAGCGTTAGCGGTGGCCTCACTCAAAGGGCCCTGAGCAAGCGCAAAGGTGTCACAACGCATCGAGCTGCCAATGGCTGACATCTAAGATTTACACAGGGGAGCTGAACCTTATTTATCACGCTTGTAACAATCAGGAAATCCGGTCTGATGGCCTTTCGCTGTTTCGTAAAGGCGGTCTATACATATGTAGGGTAGAATTCCCACCCTTGTTGTCATACGTCCCACAGCATGAGAGAGTACGGATACGAGGGGCCCATGAGCAGATTACGGACCAGGCAGCAGCAATGGGAGCCCCGTAATCTGGCCAGCACCCTATGAACAAATGTGAAACCCACCAGCAAGTGTGAGGAGACCTGAAAGTGGCACATGGCAGAGTGTGGCGATGGAGACAGCAGCACAATGGGAGGCCGTACATGAGGACCCATGTAGACACACTCTGGACCTTGCAGCAGCATGAGGATTGTCGAGTACAGGGGGCCCATGACAGATTACAGGGCCTGGCAGCAGCATGATGAGTCTGGTACGGGGCCCATGGCATATTACGGGCCTGGCAGCAAGCAATGGGATGCCGCATTACAGGACCCCTGACACACTCTGGCACCTGGCAGCAGCACAGATGGGAGGCGGTACAGGTTCCCATGCCAGATTACGGGCCTGGCAGCAGCATGAGGATGTCGGTACGGGGGCCCATGGCAGATACGGGCCTGCAGCAGCAATGGGAGGCCCGTAATCTGCCAGCACAACCCTAATGACCAAAATTGAACCCACACAAGCAGTGTGAGAGGAAACCTGAGAAAGTGGCACATGGCAGAGTGTGGCGATGGAGAACAGCAAGCAATGGAGGCCGTACAGGGACCCATGTGACCACACGTCTGGACTGGCAGAGCAGCATGAGGAGGCGGTACATGGGCCCATGACAGATTAAGGGCGCTGCAGCAGCATGAGGAGTTCGTTACGGGGCCCCATGGCAGATTACGGGCCTGGCAGCAGCAATGGGAGGGCCCGTAATCCTGCCAGCACCCAATGACAAAATGGAACCCACCAGCAGTGTTAGGAGACCTGAAAGTTGGCACATGGCAGGAGTGTGGCTGACTGGAGACAGCAGCAATGGGAGGCCGTACAGCAGGTACCCATGACAACACTACTGGACCTGGCAGCAGCATGAGTGAGGCTGTACAGGTGCCCATGACAGATTACGGGCCCTGGGCAGCAGCAATGGGAGGCCCGTAATCTGCCAGCACCCTATGACACAAATGGAACCCACCAGCAGTGTGAGGAGACCTGAAAGTGCACATGCAGACGCGTGGCGATGCGGAGACAGCAGCAATGGATAGGCCGTACAGGACCCATACGCACTCTGGAAACCTGGCAGCAGGCCTGAGGAGTCGGGTAACAAAAAGGGCCCATGACAGAATTACGGGCCTGGCAGCTAGCCAATGAGGTAGTCTGTACGTGTACAGGGGGCCCATGGCAGATTACGGGGGCCTGGCAAGCAGCAATTTGGGTACAGGCCGTACAGGACCCAAGACACACTCTGGAGTCCTGGCACAGCAGCATGAGGATGTCTGTACAGGGCCCATGACAGATTTACGGGCCTGGCAGCAGCAATGGTGAGGCCCGTAATCTGTCCAGCACCCTATGACAAAATGGAACCCACCAGCAGTGTCTATAAGGAGACCTGAAAGTGCACAAGGCAGAGTGTGGCGATGGAGACAGCAGCAATGGGAGGCCGTACAGGAGCTCGCCCAAGACTCACTCTGGACCTGGCAGCAGCATGAGGAGGCAGTACAGGGCCCATGACAGATTACGGGCCTGGCAGCAGCAGAAATGGGAGGCCCGTAATCTGCCAGCACCCTATGACAAAATGGAACCCACCAGAAGTGTGAGGAGACCTGAAAGTGGCACATGGCAGAGTGTGGCGATGGAGACAGCAGCAATGGGAGGCCGTACAGGGACCCATGACACACTCTGGACCTGGCAGCAGCATGAGGAGGCGGTACAGGACAGTACAGGGCCCATGACAGATTACGGGCCTGGCAGCAGCATGAGGAGTCGGTAGCGGGGGCCCATGGCAGATTACGGGCCTGGCAGCAGCAATGGGAGGCCCGTAATCTGCCAGCACCCTATGACAAAATGGAACCCACCAGCAGTGTGAGGGAGACCTGAAAGTGGCACATGGCAGAGTGTGGCGATGGAGACAGCAGCAATGGGAGGCCGTACAGGGACCCATGACACACTCTGGACCTGGCAGCAGCATGAGGAGGCGGTACAGGGGCCCATGACAGATTACGGGGCCTGGCAGCAGCATGAGGAGTCGGTACGGGGGCCCATGGCAGATTACGGGCCTGGCAGCAGCAATGGGAGGCCGTACAGGGACCCATGACACACTCTGGACCTGGCAGCAGCATGAGGAGGCGGTACAGGGGCCCATGACAGATTACGGGCCTGGCAGCAGCATGAGGAGTCGGTACGGGGGCCCATGGCAGATTACGGGCCTGGCAGCAGCAATGGAGGCCCGTAATCTGCCAGCACCCTATGACAAAATGGAACCCACCAGCAGTGTGAGGAGACCTGAAAGTGGCACATGGCAGAGCGTGGGGCGATGGAGACAGCAGCAATGGGAGGCCGTACAGGGACCCATGACACACTCTGGACCTGGCAGCAGCATGAGGAGGCAGTAGTACAGGGGCCCATGACAGATTACGGGCCTGGCAGCAGCAATGGGAGGCCCGTAATCTGCCAGCACCTATGACAAAATGGAACCCACCAGCAGTGTGAGGAGACCTGAAAGTGGCACATGGCAGAGTGTGTGGCGATGGAGACAGCAGCAATGGGAGGCCGTACAGGACCCATGACACACTCTGGACCTGGCAGCAGCATGAGGAGGCGGTACAGGGGCCCATGACAGATTACGGGCCTGGCAGCAGCATGAGGAGTCGGTACGGGGCCCATGGCAGATTACGGGCCTGGCAGCAGCAATGGGAGGCCGTACAGGGACCCATGACACACTCTGGACCTGGCAGCAGCATGAGGAGAGCGGTACAGGGGCCCATGACAGATTACGGGCCTGGCTAAGCAGCATGAGGAGTCGGTACGGGGGCCCATGGCAGATTACGGGCCTGGCAGCAGCAATGGGAGGCCCGTAATCTGCCAGCACCCTATGACAAAATGGAACCCACCAGCAGTGTGAGGAGACCTAAAAGTGGCACATGGCAGAGTGTGGCGATGGAGACAGCAGCAATGGGAGGCCGTACAGGGACCCATGACACACTCTGGACCTGGCAGCAGCATGAGGAGGCGGTACAGGGGCCCATGACAGATTACGGGCCTGGCAGCAGCAATGGGGTAGGCCCGTAATCTGCCAGCACCCTATGACAAAATGTAACCCACCAGCAGTGGAGGAGACCTGAAAGTGGCACATGGCAGAGTGTGGCGATGGAGACAGCAGCAATGGGAGGCCGTACAGGGACCCATGACACACTCTGGACCTGGCAGCAGCATGAGGGAGCAGTACAGGGGCCCATGACAGATTACGGGCCTGGCAGCAGCAATGGGAGGCCCGTAATCTGCCAGCACCCTATGACAAAATGGAACCCACCAGCAGTGTGAGGAGACCTGAAAGTGGCACATGGCAGAGTGTGGCGATGGAGACAGCAGCAATGGGGAGCCGTACAGGGACACCATGACACACTCTAGACCTGGCAGCAGCATGAGGAGGCGGTACAGGGGCCCATGACAGATTACGGGCCTGGCAGCAGCATGAGGAGTCGGTACGGGGGCCATGGCAGATTACGGGCCTGGCAGATGACGACGAGACTGCCAAGTGCGATCAGCCTCATCATCATCAATTAGGGTCTCCGCCTCACTACTAGCTTCCTCGGCTGCGTGTGGGTCAGGAGACAGACCTGTCTCTAGACCGGCTACCGAGCCACTCTCCTCGCCACTACTTCTTCGCCTGGCTGCTGAAGAGGCGGATGTCTCCCCCCGTTCCTGACCGCCCTCTGTTAGCTCTTCTTCACTGTACAGTGGGGCTGAGCCCACAGCATGCGATACTTCGCTTGGTGAGGGAACACCAAGGACAGGGGCAGGTAGAGGACACGTGATTTCAGTGGGCTTGCTCCCGGGCCATGCCAACTAACGGTTGTGTCTGACGTACCCACCGACCGTTGGCTGTAGGTGTCAGAGGTGACCTGGGAAGAGGAAGACGACCGAGAGCCAACCAATCGATGACGGCAGGGTTGTCGGTGGAGACACGAAACGACCGCTGGATGACACCGGGAGCACTGGCCTCTGGCTGCGACTAGTGCTGCCTCTCGACCCCTTCCTCTGCTGCCACGTCTGCTCGCTCCTGAAACATTGCCTCCTCTGCCACTCCTCTGCGTGTTGTTGTCTGACATACTCTTTTAATTCAACGATTCTGTGTCCCTGAGTAACGATTCTGTGTCCCTGAGTAACAATGCTGTGTCCCTGAGTAACAATTCTGTGTTCCTGAGTAACGATTCTGTGTCCCTGAGTAACAATTCTGTGTCCCTGAGTAACGATTCTGTGTCCCTGAGTAAACGATTCTGTGTCCCTCAGTAACAATTCTGTGTCCCCGAGTAACAATTCTGTGTCTGTCCCTGAGTAACAATTCTGGTCTGTCCCTGAGAAACAATTCTGTGTCCCTGAGTAACAATTCTGTGTCTGTCCCTGAGTAACAATTCTGTGTCTGTCCCTGAGTAACAATTCTGTGTACCTGAGTAACAATTCTGTGTCCCTGAGTAACAATTCTGTGTCTGTCCCTGAGTAACAATTCTGTGTCCTGTCCCTGAGTAACAATTCTGTGTCCCTGGAGTAACGATTCTGAGTCCCTCAGTAACGATTCTGTGTCCCTCAGTAACAATTCTGTGTCCCTGAGTAACGATTCTGTGTCCCTGAGTAACGATTCTGTGTCCCTGAGTAACGATTCTGTGTCCCTCAGTAACAATTCTGTGTCCCTGAGTAACGATTCTGTGTCCCTGAGTAACGATTCTGTGTCCCTCAGTAATGATTCTGTGTCCCTCAGTAACGATTCTGTGTCCCTGAGTAACGATTCTGTGTCCCTGAGTAACGATTCTGTGTCCCTCAGTAACGATTCTGTGTCCCTCAGTAACAATTCTGTGTCCCTCAGTAACAATTCTGTGTCCCTGAGTAACAATTCTGTGACCCTCAGTAACAATTCTGTGACCCTCAGTAACAATTCTGTGTCTTGTCCCTGAGTAACAATTCTGTGTCCCTGAGTAACGATTCTGTGTCCCTCAGTAACGATTCTGTGTCCCTCAGTAACGATTCTGTGTCCCTGAGTAACGATTCTGTGTCCCTGAGTAACGATTCTGTGTCCCTCAGTAACGATTCTGTTTCCCTCAGTAACGATTCTGTGTCCCTGAGTAACAATTCTGTGTCCCTGAGTAACGATTCTGTGTCCCTGAGTAACGATTCTGTGTCCCTTAGTAACGATTCTGTGTCCCTGAGTAACGATTCTGTGTCCCTCAGTAACGATTCTGTGTCCCTGAGTAACAATTCTGTGTCCCTGAGTAACGATTCTGTGTCCCTGAGTAACAATTCTGTGTCCCTGAGTAACGATTCTGTGTCCCTGAGTAACGATTCTGTGTCCCTGAGTAACAATTCTGTGTCCCTGAGTAACAATTCTGTGTCTGTCCCTGAGTAACAATTCTGTGTCCCTGAGTAACAATTCTGTGTCCCTCAGTAACAATTCTGTGTCCCTGAGTAACAATTCTGTGTCCCTGAGTAACAATTCTGTGTCTTTCCCTGTGTAACAATTCTGTGTCCCTGAGTAACAATTCTGTGTCCCTCAGTAACAATTCTGTGTCCCCTGAGTAAAAATTCTGTGTCCCTGAGTAACAATTCTGTGTCTGTCCCTGAGTAACAATTCTGTGTCCCTGAGTAACAATTCTGTGTCCCTGAGTAACGATTCTGTGTCCCTAAGTAACGATTCTGTGTCCCTAAGTAACGATTCTGTGGCCCTAAAGTCTCTCTGGCCCTAACTCTGTCCCTAATACAGACAGGTCTGTCTCTCTTGAATGACCGGAGGCTAATGGAGAATTGTAAGATGGCCGCAATTTATAGCTCCACCATTACACAGTGCTGGCTGGCTGGCTGCTGATTGGCTAATGCGATCACATGTCATGAATGAATGCATTATGGGTCAGCGTGCCTTGTCTGCGCGCCTTCCCAGAGATCCCCGCTCCGTCGCCACACATGTCGCTGCCATTTTTGGGAAAATTCGATTCGTGCATCCGAAGTTTGCTAATTTTCGGATTCGGCGCGAATCGAATTTTTCCTGATATTCGAAACGAATTCCACTTCGCCATGTTCGATTCGCTCATTTCTATTCAGGGCATTCTGCAAATCCGACTGTTGTTAGGCAGTTTTTGGTTGATTTGAAAGTAGAAAGTGGTGAGAGGGTAGAGTTTTAGAACTGTATTTTGTACCTCTTTGAAACCACCAATTGATCATACATATCTGAGATATCTGTGACCCAGAGAGGGGCACACTGTAACAGGCATCCGCTGACTTTTAAGATAGAGGGTACTTTAATGGTAAGAAGATAATGGGGAAGGTTTTGTGGGACAATTCCTGTGCCAAAAGTAAGGGCTGTACTTAGGTTTTGAAGCTGAAGTCCGAGTAGAATAATTAGATGATCTGAGTTGTTTGAGGCAGTAGATTTTCCGGAGAAGGGGGTTTTGGAATCTTCCGCTGTGGAAGCAAAACCTTCCCTTCTGTGACAGCTTTTATGAATTGGCCATGTGCCTCTCCCAAAAAGATGTCTGCCTTGAAAGGGCATAGGTTTGAGGCACTTTTTACAGGCAACTTCAGCTGTTCAAGCTTTTAGCCACAAGACGAGACTAAGTTCTGAAAGATTAAGTTTGAAAAGTTTAAACTCCAAACATAGTCCCAGATTTTACAGCAATGGTAAGGGATACAGGGTCTTACCCGTCCACAATGCTTATCCTTATATAGGACCCCGGGTTCTCCTGTCAGAGTGGTAATACTCCCAAAGGGTTCTTCAGGGTGGGTTCCATAGAGATGGACCACAGCCCTGATTATGTATAGCACCCTATGGCTGACTACACGTGTTGCACAAAGTGCTAAGGTGAGGCCCTGTGTACAATCTAGTGCCAAAAGCAATATTACAACACGTCCCTACAGTGCGAGGTCCAGCTACAGCTCCCAAGGTCTACGCGAGGTTGCGCCAGCCTGGATACACTGTTTCTCTTTGTAGTACTAGAAATCAGTGACAGAGATGATTGAGATGATTAAAGAGCTAAAATAATAAAATTAGTTAAACTAACAGTGATTTCTCAGCAAGGTCCCTTACCTTAGGGCAATAGAAAAACAAGGACAAATAGAAAACAAGGACATAATGAAGCTCAATGGTTCCAATAAATATAGCAGCATCCTATGCTCAGTATACACAGCCTACTCATAAATGAGTCTTCAGAGACTGGGGTTACACTGGAGACTGTGTTATGGCACAAGTAGGGACTTTTTGTGCCCCTTCTACGCCATCTGTACCTGGGGGAGTGGGAGGCGCACCTCTCTCTAACAACAGGATGTCACCATATATGAGCCACATCTCCATGTGGTTTCGTTATATTGACGATGTGTTCTTGGTCTGGGAGGGGTCAGAGGATAATTACTTCAATGCATCAAAGTCATGAATCAAAATTACTTTAATTTGCAGTTTACCATGTCGTACAACTCCACTACTATTACCTTTCTTGTAACTATTAACAAAGATCTTTTGTTGGGGGGTACTCTGTCGAGTGCCTCTATAGGAAACCTACAAGAGTCAACACTATCTTGAAAGCTCATAGTGCACATCCCCGCCCCCTGGTTAGGTCCATTCCCTATAGTCAGTATATCAGAATTTAGACGCAACTGCTCAGATGAACGCAGCAAAATTAAGAACAAGGTTATTAGAAAGGGGTTATACACCTACACTATCTTAAAAAGGGATTTAGGCAGGCTACTCAAAGATCTAGACACGATCTGTTATTCTCTACCAAAACTAAAAAGGAGTCAACAAGTACACAGGTCATTATGTGTTATAGAAGACAACATAAATTAGTCAAAAAACATTATCCAAAAATAATTGCTAATTGATCCCACTTTGAGTCCCCACATCCCAGAATCCCCAGCAATAACATTTCATAGAGCAAAAATCTATTAAAGATTATCTTGTCCACAGTGAATTTGTGGGTGAATTCAGGACAGATGCTTGTAAAAATCTAGGCACCTTTAAATGTGGGGGTTGACCATATTGTAGATATATGAACACAAACCATGATGTGCTATTACCCAATGGTGATTCCGACACATGCAGACATTTTGCCAATTGCAAAACGATAGGAGTAGTTTACTTACTTATCTGTGAGTGTGGTGAATTCTATGTGGGAAAAACAAAGTTAAAGGTGAGCATATTGCCATATTGCTAGTATGAAAATATCCAATCCTATTCTACCACTTGGCCACCATGTGAGAGGTATACATGAAGGGAGATTTCTTAAAATTTCTTTCCTAATTTGGATTGAGTCCACCCTAACAGGAGAGGGGGAGATAATACACTTCTCCAATATGAAACACAGTGGATCTTTCTGTTAAGAGCTACCTCACCCCCAGGCCTTAATGATCCTATTAGTGTCAAACCATTCTTAGAAGGCTTTTCCTAAGGGGGATGTGAAAAATAAATGAT